GGTATAATGTTATTGCCCCTAAGGATAGTTAAAGTAGAAGAAAAATGTCTTTTTGCTAGGAGTAGAATAAGATTCCCCCTCCCCACACTCCCTTAATCAATTGGCATGTTGAATGAATAAGGTGTGAATGAGCAAGGCGTGGAAGGCAGCACCTCCAGACAGCTAGTTGGAGAGGGGATGGAAGCCAGACCCAAGGACAATCAAACTTGTCAAGTGGGCTCACTAAAGAAGAGCAGACGTATTGACGGCCTCAGGGGATGGTTTAGAATCAAGCACCTTCTTTTGGAAACAACCTCTTTGAACAGTATTGGGACAACACCCAGAAGGAAGCAGCACAAAGGACCAACGGACACAGATTTTGAAGCTGGTACAGATTTGCACGAGAGGGAAGCTGCTATAAATGTGAGGTGTGTTGCAGAGGACCCTGGGTCTTGTTAACATTGGAGTGTAAGCAGAGTCAGGATGAGCTCTACCCTGACATCTGGTGGTGAATTATGGCGAGTGTGGAAAAGAACTCCAGGGGCTGATCTTGTTTGCATAGGCACACCCACCCGCCTGGCACGAGACAACAGCAACTGAAAGTGGTTACTTTGGCTGGTGTGGGATCCCCAGTTTTCTCTGTTATTGGGGCAGGAAGAATAGTTTTGTTACCCTGATTCTGTGGATCAAGGCCAGTGGAACTGTTGTATGACAGAAGGACTGAGTGAGTCCTTCACCATTACCTAAGTAGCACTTGCTTGACAAGGGGTATGGGTTACAAAACCTAGTGAATAGAAAGAGGAGGGGAGTAGGTATTTGAATCAAATGGTGTGGGCCCTCTTTGAGGGTTTGAAACACCAATTGCACTACCTCCTCTCTCCACTGTGGAATGTCAGAGCTAACTTTGATTCCATTAGGAGTCTAGTTACAGACTGCTGAGCTGAATTCACTTTGGGCCAATGGTGTACTAGCACTGGGGCTCCCCTACTATCAGCTGAAATTGCTAAAAGCTGAAATCACAAAAGAGCTAAAGTTATTAAGAGCTGAAATCACTGAAGCTATATTGCTAAGCGGCTGGCGGAGCAGCTAGCAGAGTGGAGCATCATGGGGACGGTTGGAGCAGAGCTGAGCGACTCACAGGTCGGTGAGCGGAGCGGCTGGAGGAGTAGCTAGCAGAGTGGAGCCTTGTGGGAGCGGCCCAAGGGACGGCTGAAGTGGAGCAGAGCTGAGCGGCTCACAGGTTGGTGAGCAGAGCGGAGCAGCTGCCAGAACAGTTTGTGGACGGCGGGAGCGGCTCATGGGATAGCTGGTGGAGTGGAGTGGAGTGGCTCGTGGTGAAGGCTGCGGCAGAACCCCACGGAGAGGCAACCGGTCGGCCTCGGATCACGTAAGGTGCCCCTTAACACCCTGCATGCCCCCCACCCCCCGGCTTGAACTCTGGGGCTGCACTGACCAGGGACAGAGACTTTGGGGGGTTGTTGGACTTTTGGGACTTTGGTGATCCTTGGGTTGCTGGACCCAAGAGACTTTGGGGTTGTTGGACTTTTGGGACTTTGGTGATTCTTGGGTTGCTGGTTTCAAGAACCAACA